ACGCTGTCGTTTGTTTCGTGGTGTCACAAAATAAACTGTTTACAACAATATTTGTTCATGGTTCTGATGGTCACTGTAGTTACTATTAATTTCTTAAAGTTCTCTCTTTCTCTTATATTTAATATAACCACACTACGGATGGACAAGCGTCAGTTTTTATGCGTTGTCGTTAGCAACAACGATGTTAAAACCACCGCCTGTTTGCTTGTTTGTTTTCCACAAAAACCGTTGTCACAATAAAGCTCAAGATCCTGTTGAGACTTTTTAAAATAAACTGAATCACGTGTCAATCAGCCGCCAGGTGCTAAAAAATAAACCTTAGACTCAAACGTTAGAACAGGCAGCACGCAGTGTAATAAATACTCACAAACGGCGCCGTTACAACTTATGAATAAAAATGTATAGTTTCATGCATCATTAAAACACTCGACTCAAGGTACACAACGCGCAGCTGGAAACACTTCACGCAAGTCGAGCTGCCCGAGATTCACAGAGTTTACAGAAAATGTTACATGTTTGTGATTTATATCGTTATCGGACGATAGATGTCTTAATATATGAGATCGTGGTCATATCGCACAGTCTAATGATCAACCTATCTCTAATAATCAGCTATGTACCACAGGCCTTCAAGCTGGCTGTAGTTAAACCTTTACTTAAAAAGCATCTCTACACCCAGCTGTCTAATTAAAGGCCAACCTCCAACCTTTTTTGCTTTAGTAAAAAACAAACAAACAGTTAAATATGTAACTTCTTTACACTGACTATAGGGTCTACAGGGTTGGTGAAATCTTGGTTTGGTACTTTCTTGGAATCGCCAGCAGGTGGAGCTGTGGCTGCTCTGCACACCCTTCATCCTATTTTCAGCCGTTCATCCCAGCTGAAACAGGCGCTTTCCTTTTCTTTACATTTTCTTTTCCCTTTAAATCAAATACATGAATCGTCCTTTTCTGACCTCCAACCCTGTCACCACATTTTCACCTGCACAGTTTGTTTGTTCCATGTCTGTCCGCTTAGTTCTCAGATCTGGTCCTTTGTTTATACTGACTTATTGTAAGTCAACACGTCTAACAGATAGCTGTTGTTGTTAATTGTAAATAAGCGTACTGTGTGTGTTGATGCATGCGCAATCATCCAGGTAAGTAAATCCCAAAGTTTGATTGTGTTCATCTGGACGCTGTCAGAGGGACAAACCTCTCGTCACTCATCCAGTTTACAAATGCAACCTGAATATTGTGAATTTGCAGAGTTCTTGGTAACTTTGTAAAGCGATCAAATAGAAATAGAACAAAAATAAACCCACTTTAGCCTCTGCACTCAAGAAATGTTTTATTGCAACTGATATAAAATCTGAAGTTTAAGATTTGGATGCAGTTCCACTTACTCGTGCTTTTGGATTTAGCATCTATCGG